AGGTTCTGCAATGCTTGCTGGCATAGAAGGTGGAAGTAGATAACAGTATGGATTCAGCCCTATGTTGCTCACGTAGAAGAAGGATGGCTTGGCTGGATTGCAGTTCTTGAACTGATCAAGTCAGTGCTGCCACCTGTTGAGTGAGATCAGTTATAACCTCTATAGTTTCTGCACGTTCCATAGTGTAGTGCTTGTTTGTTATGTGATGACCTACTGGTTGGTTGGTTGGTTTATTTGGAGAAGAGTTACAGTGGAAATACCTTCCCAGGTGCCTGAGAATGATAAGACAGCCTGGGAAATCTATTAGCAGATGCATGCCTTTACTTACTGAGAAAGCGAAGAAGCCAGAAAGGAACAGGTAGTAAGAAGTGTCAGGGCCAAAGCTGATAAGTATTACTGAGAATCAGGAACCAGGAACAAGAACAAGTGTAACGGAGCTCCCTGTACCCCTGGCTGAGTATCTCCGCCAAGGACCGATTCCTAGCTGGAACAGGGGACAAACTGCAGCACTCGCCGTGGCTTGACTGGGGCCCTGGAACAGCTCCTTCCAGAAGCCGAATGGGGAATTAGCTCTAGTCCTTACAAGGACTTTCCTCATTGAATCCCCTGCAAGCTGGAACAGCAGACACAGGAGTACATCTTCTTTCCCTCCAATAACAGGACGACACACAGTTTTGGAGTGTAAGCTGGAATAGAATTTTAATGGAGGCACACTGGCCTTTTATGAATGTTTCCCAACAAGGGTGACACCCAGGTGGACCTTGTTGGGCACAGGGACACAAAGTGAACAAACCAATAAAAACAGAGTCATACAGTGAGACACTCCTATACACAAACAATGGAATCCCTCCTCTGTGCTTGGGAGATAATTGAATTAGGAATTGTACTAATCTCCAAGCAAAGAAAAGCTTACAATTTTATTAAACTCTAAAAGGTACCTTAAAAACTCATAAAACCCCAGAACAATCCCCTGATAGCCCCGATCTGGGTGAACAACATATCCAAAAATCACCCAAATCGGTTCAGGGGTTCAGGAATTTCCTGGAAGTCATATTTTTGACCGACTGTGCACATGGTCCCATGCCCAAAACAGTTTCAGGGAAATCTGTGCCAACAGTCAACCTTTTACAGGTTTCCCTGCAGGGCCCATAAGTCTGTGGGCAGGAGGCTGGCAAGCAGACTCCTCCAGGAGCTTGTGGCAAACTCACTTGGAGAGGGGAATTTGTCACAACCAGTTTCAGGAACAAGGACCAGGCTCAGGAACAAGAATCAGAAATCAGAAACAAGAACCAGAATGCCAGGATACTGGAGCAAGCACCAAAACTATCAAGCAGTTCTTGGCTATTTATAGGAAGAACCAATCACATGATAGGCGCGCACCACCCTTGCAGGTGTAGCCCCAATGCCTATAAAGGAGGGGAGGAGACTGGGTACCATATTGGTTATTCTCCAGTTCCTGTGTCTGTCCAGGCCAGCCTCCCCAATCACTCCTTCATGCAGCCCCAGCGTCGGCAGTAGGAGTGCGGCGGGACAGAGCCACCAGCTCCAGAGACCCTCAAGGACCACCTCCAGAATGGGAAGGTAAGTGCTTGCAGAAAGTGTAACTCAAACTCAGACCAAGTAAGCAATTCAACCCAATTGTCTTGATGTTCTGAAGTAAAACAGCAGAGATATTGTTTTTATTTGTACATTCTGCAACACCGTTTGATTGAGGGATATAAGGAAGAAAAGAAAAGCTTAATTCCCATTTGGATACTGAATGCCTTCCAAAATCGCGAAACAAATTGAGAACCTCTACAGGTCACAATTTCAAATGTTAATCTGTGTAAACAGAATACTTATTTTGTGAATATACATGCTAGTTCTGTAAAGGTTGGTAACCTTAAAAGAGGTGTGAAGTGCGCCAGTTTAGTGAAGCAATCCACTATAGTTAAAATGACGGCCTTCTTATCAGAAAGGGGTAAGTCAACAACAAAAACAATAGATATGCTTGACCTTGGTTTGGTTGGTATTTTCAATAGTTGTAAAGAAACACAAGGTAATGTATGGGGAACTTTGGCTTTGGCACATGCTTCACAAGCATGTACAAATTCTTTGATGTCTTTTTTTTTTTTTTTTTTTTTAACAAAGGCCACCAGAAATTTATCA